CGGCGTTTGTTTATCATGCATGAGGGAACGACACGAAGGAAACTGAATGGTAAGACATATTAATGTAAAGTTACCAAACGTATTAACGTACAGATACTTTTTGTGTAATTTTGGATAAGGATGATTACGTGAAAAAACTGTCTGTGATAGCTCTAAATTAGTGAAATTGGATCATGATCCTACTGATAAAAGGGAATAATAGTAGAGTCCGGGAAGTTCGAATATTGGTTGTTGTTTTGGGGATCAACGCGTCTAATAATGAAATCATTAACATTTTCACATTATTACAGTCAGGTTAAGAAGAAATTCAGTCGTTTCTAATAAAAAAAAAAATCTAGATGTAGCTTAAACTTAATAACTTAAAACGAAAAGTTTAAATTGTGAAATGTATGTAATATTCACCTTTCTTCACGTGCACCAAAATGTAGTTGAAGAGCGATACTGTAGTTGTAAGTAACACTTGACTAAGTACATAAAATATGTACTAGTTACACTTGTGTGCAGCTTTAGTTCGTTACCAAAAGCTTTGAACGCACCATAGAATTAATCTCAAACCGTATCCTTACCTTTAAACAAAGGAAGGGGGTTGTTTGTTTGTTTGTTTTGATATTCACCCAATGCTACACAACGGATTATATGTGCTAGATGCCCGTAATTTTGAACTGAGTACTATATGTAAGGTAGCTAGTCAACAGAACCCACCGCCAGCTTTTGGGCTACTCTATTCGAATAGTAGGGTTTGATTGTTACTCTTATGGCGCCCCCACGGCCCTAAAGTGAAACAAGAGGAAGCGAACCATGAACCTTCAGATTCATGGCTTGGCATGCTAATCATTAAGCCAAGCCTGTCTTTATAGGCAAGGGAAACTTTTGGCTAAGTGAATTACAAAGAATTACAAAAGATAACAACAACATCTATGTAGTTCTTTAGGATTATAATAAACAGTTATAAGGAAGAGCAAATTTGCTTATGCTTTGGGAACTTTCAGCACTAATTATCACTCATCATCAGTATATATCTTGAAACATACTCAACAGCACTAATTATCAGTCATCATCAGTATATATTTTGAAACATAATCAACAGCTCTAATTATCAGTCATCATCAATATATATTCTGAAAAACACTCAACAGCACTAAGTATCAGTCATCATCAATATATGTTCTGAAACACACTCAACAGCACTAATTATCAGTCATCATCAGTATATATTCTGAAATACACTCAACAGCTCTAATTATCAGCCGTCTGATAATATATATATATATTCTGAAATACGCACTCTAGAAATACTGAAAGTCGCTATGAAAAAATAAATCAAAATATTGTGTAGTTTATATTTTAAGGGATAGAGACATTAAGATTTTTTCAAATTGTCGACCAGAATATACCTTGTTTCCATTGCCAGTGCGTGTTTCTTTCATTGACAAACACATTTTTAATTTGATATATATCTTGTCGCCATTTTATTATTTCTGTTTCAAGCTGAGGTTTTGTTGTAACAGAATATTCAAACTACTCTAAATAATGTAACCATACTAAAGGTAAAAAGAAACTTATAAAAAAAACGTACTTTTTAAAAACATTCTTGTTAACAGGCTTGGGTAACGTGTTGCAAGGTTTTTTAACCAATATATTGAGGCTGCCAAGGCTGAGATTTTCTACTTAAAGTGTTATATTTCTCTAAAAAACACATGGTGAAAATTATGAGCATTTATTTAAAAACAACAATAACGGTAGTGTAAAATACAATACCGTGTATATTGGCTATATTAATGAAGAAAACCACAGTTTTGAAATAAAGCATTATTGCTAATTTCCTTTCCCGGTCTTTGTAGTTATATATTGTTGAAAACGTTTTTTTTCTTCTTCAAGGGTACAGATTAGGCGGCTTAGCTTAAACACTATAAGTTATTATTATTTTTCTTGCAGTTGTTCTTAGCCCTTAAATTTCCATTTACTATAGGTGTGGTTCACAAATTGCATAATATTGAATAATGTTATGTTTTTGCCTACTTAAGTACGCAGTGTAAAGAAGCGGTTCAAATAAATTGGACGAAATCACCCATTTTATATGTAAAACACATAGAAGATCCCAATAGCAATTAGTACGATTGACTGCTATTTTTTGGGCATTTTTGTTAACATTTTGTTATGTGTTTTATATGTTACTATGGATCATGTTCCCAAGAAAGACACGGACGCACAAGGAGTTTGATACGTAAATAAATAGTTTAGAAAAAAATGTTTTTAAAAAGTCGATCCAATCGGTAATTTTAGGGTTAGGTCATCAGCGATTTTCATCTACAAAGTGCAGATATTCGGTAGTTTCTTCATATAAAACGAGCACTTATGAAGAAGAAAGCTAAGTGCAGTGTGATTAACTATTACAAGTCTCCTTCGTTTCCCGAACTAAGTGATCTGAAGCATACCTGTTCAAGACTACATTATTTTAGTCTTGTCATGTGTTTAAATTGTGTTAAGAGCTCTAAATGTTTAATTCTGTTTTCAGTAAGCCCCTTTTCACACATTTTTGTGTGGTTGTTACTTCGATTTATATTAGAATTAGTTGATGAATACTCTGTTAAGTCATCAGTTTACTGGAACTTTACTTCAGTAAATAAGACACTTGTATGTTTAAATAAAAAAAATTATAGTAATATTTGATCCATTAAATTCAACGCTCTTGAAAGTTTAATCTTAAATACAATTCCTATTTCCAAAGTTCTGATATCCAATTCTGCATATATTTGTAGGTGTTGCCTTTGTAGAGTTTTCGCTGTTCGTTTGTGTCATGACTTAATACATCATGAGCTAGCTGGTAGTTTTAGATTGAACTACAACAAAAGACCCGATGATTTAATATGCAAAATGCAATATATATATATATTATAGCGTCATATGTAATAAATCATTCACACGTTCATGCACAAAGCATAGCAAGTGAAATAAATATATACAATAAAAACATTAAATAACTAAACATAACCCACCCGAATATAACTTTATAGTTACTGGTTGGTCATTCGATGTTCCACAGTAAAACTTCACTGTTAAGAGTAGTTTATAGTTTTAAAACGACTGACTTGACTGCATGGAAGTCAACTTCACTGATGATTATTCTATACACGAATATCTTCTTAATTACTTTACTCGTAGCACTTCATGTTTGTCCCCCTTAGTTTTAACAATATGATCAGGTTCTGTAAATACATAGTTTCTCAGTACTTTAAAATATGTGATTTTGTGAGGCCCGAAATTTGCGCTTTTTTTATTACTTTTTGTAATCATTGGTATGTTGCTCTAAAGATTTTAATATTATAAAAGTGAGCTTCAAACCAAGAACACTTTATATACGTATAAATATACAAATACACCGACAGTTATGAAACTAAAAATATTGAGACACGCGATACTTACAAAAGCAACGTCCGTTCCTAATGGCGGTTTCGAGGGTGCCAAGTAAAATAAGCGGCAGACGTTCTTTACGAGTTCTTGGTCCTGCTATTCAAGCAACTTTGTAGTCAGCACATTATATTATAAGAAGGAAAATTACTTCACTAAATTCACAGCGACAATACCTGTTATCTGTATGTTTAGTTTGTCTAAAATTATTTTGCACCTGTGTTTCGAATTTTAAACTTACAACTGTATCTACTTATTTTGTGGAAATTAATCTCGCTCTCAGCGTACTGACTCTCGCTCCGGGAGTCTTTATTTTTTCTTCTCTGCTAGATATTGGATTATCCAATGGTCCACATTGTATCCACAAGCAAACCACATGAAATCGGTGAACTCCCTTTCCAACAGAAGTAAAATATATGAGTAGGTTACTCTTTTTATTGAATGTTTAAATAATGATTTTTTTTTTACTTTTAGCGTGGAACTAGCAATAAAAATAATAGACATTAGTTCACTAAAATGATAAAAAAACTAAGAATTTTATGCAGTGTTGTTCGTAGTTTTCAATTTACAACATCTGCAGCCAGTGGGTTTTAATTCAGTCATTTCTTAAAGTAGTTAAGACCAAATTTTGTGTGTTTTGCATTTAGATAGATCGGTAACTGGTGACATAAACCGTATAGAAATATCGCGAACTAAGCCTTGAACTTGCCATTTGTTTATCGTAAGAAAAGGAAAAAACTGTTAATATACTTAACAAAGAAGTGTGGAGTAGTTGTTCTTCGTCACGTCTGGTACGAGAAAGGATGACCGTTGTATATGATTCAATTTGTTGAATCATGCAATGGTCATTCATTCTTACACCAGGCCTAACGAAGAACAGTTGCTCGAAACGTCCCTGTTGAATATGATAATAGTTTTCTCTTCCCAGGATGTGTTTTTAAAAAACAACAACAAAAAACTTCTCTTGAGTAGTAAGACAGGTTTTAACGTCTTGCGGACTACTATGTTATAAGTACAATTATCGTAGAGTAGGCCTAACTCCATTCAGTGCTTATGAATATTTCGTCTAACTAGAATGGTCAATGATCATGTGGTAGATATAGTATACACGGTTACTGAAATTCAACTTTCCATTTAGGAAAATTGTCATACATGAATATGAGGTAAAGCAGTACAGTAAATACAATTTATGATATTAACTTCGAATTCAGCAACTTGTCCGTTCAGATTTTATTGTTCGCATTAAAGTGTGCATAGATTTTTTATGAAGTAATCCTATTCTCACAAGCAATGTAATAATGCATGCGAAATACAGCGCGGGAACGGCATATGCTGTACTGCATTAATAATGGACATAAGTAGAGTAGTTCGCTAAAAATAAAGAAATAATTCATAATCACCATTTACGTAAAATAACTGAAGTTAGCGTCAGTGTGATAAACGCTTTATTGTTCTGACGTTGTTGTATCTATACATATATATATATATATATATTTATTTATTTATAAAGCTATGATCCTTTTGAGCCTCTAAAGCTGGACGAATTTTTAATAACAAAACAAAAACTGTCAATTATCAGGCAGGTTTGTACAATATTTTTGAAAGTAAAAAGACTTTGTTTTGCTAATTATGGTCGACAATAGCTTCCTTGGAAACCTGGAAGTTAGACGACCTTTTAGTCTTTTTATCGAGACTTCTGTTGGTCTTCTTGTTGAATCGTGAGATGTCAAATGATAAACTGGACACTACTCAGAACGTCTTACAAATATTTGGTATATTATCTTTTGAGATAAATTATCTTTAGATCTTCTTGTAAAAACTTGAGGTGTGACTTGTTGAGGTGGTCAACGATTAGATCATCTTTAGATCTTCTTGTAAAAACTTGAGGTGTGACTTGTTGAGGTAGTCAACGATTAGATCATCCTTAGATCTTCTTGTAAAAACTTTAGGTGTGACTTGTTGAGGTAGTCAACGATTAGATCATCTTGTAAAAACTTTAGGTGTGACTTGTTGAGGTAGTCAACGATTAGATCATCTTGTAAAAACTTTAGGTGTGACTTGTTGAGGTAGTCAACGATTAGATCATCCTTAGATCTTCTTGTAAAAACTTGAGGTGTGACTTGTTGAGGTAGTCAACGATTAGATCATCCTTAGATCTTCTTGTAAAAACTTTAGGTGTGACTTGTTGAGGTAGTCAACGATTAGATCATCTTTAGATCTTTTTGTAAAAACTTTAGGTGTGACTTGTTGAAGTGGTCAACGATTAGATAATTTTGCATAAACTTGGCGAAGGATTTGCTGTAGGTGAAAGTTTACTCCTTCTTGCAATTGATAGTGACAAACAGTATTATATTTTACTTTCCTGAGCCTTCAGGTATCAGCTGCTGAAGATAAAATTTTAGTTTTCTCTCAAACCTTTAGCTTCAGGTATAAGCTGCTGAAGGTAGACAAGGATTTTGTTTTTTCCCGAGCTTTCAGATATCAGCTGCTGAAGGTGGATAAGGTTTTTTTAGCCTTCAGGTATCAGCTGCTGAAGATAAAATTTTAGTTTTTTCTCGAGCCTTTAGCTTCAGGTATCAGCTGCTGAAGGTAGACAAGGTTTTTTTTTTCCCGAGCTTTCAGATATCAGCTGCTGAAGGTGGACAAGGTTGTTTTTTAGCCTTCAGGTATCAGCTGCTGAAGATAAAATTTTAGTTTTTTCTCAAACCTTTAGCTTCAGGTATCAGCTGCCGAAGGTAGACAAGGTTTTTTTTCTCTAGCCTTCAGATATCAGTTGCTGAAGGTGGACAAGGTTTTTTTTCTCTAGCCTTCAGATAGCAATTGCTGAAGGTATACACGGCTATAGTTTTTTTCCGCTTTTAGATGTAAGCTGTTTCTTGTAGATACACAAGTATTTCGTTTTTACCGAACCTTCAGATATCACCTTCCAGTGGCTCAGCGGTAAGTCTAAAGGATTATAACGCTAAAAACCAGGTTTCGATACTCGTGGTGGGCACAGCACAAATAGCCCATTGTGTAGCTCTGTGCTTAATAATAAACAAAATCAACCTTGAAATATCAGTTGCTAAAGGTAGACAACGTGTAGATTTCTTTGCAACTGAAATAACTGCTGTTGAGGTAGGCAATGTTTTAGTACTGTCTGTTGTATGTCCATGTAACTACTTCGCAGGGTGTGGATGGATCTTCACCCCAATTGGTTTGGAGGTTCGTTACGTCCATGCGGAGGTACATAAAAATTTTCAGTTTTGAATTTTACGTTTTGCGGTTTTTATGGGCGTTTTTGCATTTTTTACCACTAATTCGTCTCTTATAGATGAACCTTCCCCAAATTTGGTATGGAGGGTCATTCGGTCTATGGGGAGATACATACAAATTTTCAGTTTTGAATTTTGCGTTTTGCGGCTTTTATAGACGTTTTCATGTCCTAAGATAGCTTTAACTTCGTCCAGGGGACGGGTACTCCAGCTCGTAATGCAATAAAAAATTACATGTAAAAACGTTCATATAAAGAGATGAAAATTCAGTGTTCTTACTAACTTCTGAGTATTTCGAATAACGCTGGAACACTCATAAAGCACTTGTATAGTAACTTTATATACATTAGTTATCTAACTTGTTATTAAATCAACTGCTACCAGTTCGTAATTTTGTTTTCTACTTGTTAATGCTGTATACTTTCACATTTGGTCCTGCAGCAGTAGATTTATGCAGGAAAAAAAAAGGTTTAATTAACTATATTACATTTCCCGAAAAGAGGTAATTAATCTATGCTTCATTGAGTAATTTAAGGATTAACGTTTCTTTATAGCTTCTCGTAGTTATTAGGTTCATGTTGGTTACATTTCTGGGTATTACAACGCAAACTGAATATGTAAATACCATATAATATACATTAACGAAGTCAGATATACAGCGGGGAATAATTTCTGCACTATTTTATACGTTAATAAGTTGATAGAATAATTATGATTTACTTATTAATAATTTAAAAAACTCATTCTTGATCATGACATTCTTATTATTCTAATTTTTATGTGCTGGTTTAAGCGTTAGTAATTCGAGAAAACAATATTATACGAACATGTCTTTCCTCCTCAGAATGATAAATAATTTGTGACTTATTATGTCACCAATATATTGTCAGTTAATATTTTTTAAGCGTTTGTTTGTAATTATGCACAAAGCTACACAATGGACTATCGGTGCTCTGCCCACCACGGGTATCGAAACCCGGTTTCTAGCATTGTAAGTCCGCAGACATACCACTGTGCTACTGGGGGACTTTTTTAAATGACTTACAATTTGCAACTGTTTTAAATTAGAAATGTCATATATTTATATTTCTAAACTAATATGTAATTTGTTGAACTGTTGAATGATAAAAAGAAACTGAAGATTGATTTTTTTCTTTTTTTTTTACGAATACTGACTTTCAAATACATATAACTTGAAATGGTAAGCTTAACTCTGTTTAACGCAAACTGGAATTTTTTACGAGACATTTCTATCAATGTAAATAAAATAACGATGTATATGTCTTCAGAATGTATCTTTATTGGTTCAATATTTCACTAGGATTTCACTATTTCAATATTCGTCAGGAGCTATCGATAATGAATTCGCCAAACCAGTTAAAAGGTATAGTACAAGAGGCTGTAATATCTAATATGGTCTGTTTTTCGTATTGAATATATATACACCTGGAAAAAAGTTAAGCACCCCCAAATATTTTTCAGGATTGCTTATTGAAAATAAGGTT